CACGAAGGTGTCCTCAGATAAGCACTAACATTAGACAGATACCTTTCTCTCCTTTTCCTTAACAATATATCTAATAGATCAATTGCTCTAAAGGGTAGAGATACACTTCACTGTTTTTCTTAATTCATATCATCCCAGTATGCAGATTATTAACCAATTTTAAAACCTTACAGATGATTTAGAAGTAAAAAACATTTAGTCATAAAATTTATACAGCTAAATCTTGTATTTTCCATACCCAAACACGAACATACACCACAGACATTAGAAAAAAAAAGGTTACTTAGAAAAAACTACTCTAAAAAATCCCAAACTTCCTAAAAGTTTTCAGGAATAACAAATAAACAATAAAAAGGACTATACTTTTCTAATGCACTCTGAAAAGTAGAGGCTCCCACTATAAGGGGAAAAAGCATCTTTGTTCACTTAATTCTATGAGCCTTTACTAAGGATCAAAAATTTATTACTCAAATATGAATGATACCAGTACTGAAATTCATTTAAGAAGTAAAAATGTATTAACCTTAATGTTCCTAAAAGTCAGTGCTATTTTTACCTCTCAAAGTTTTTGAGTTTTTAAAAAATTTAAAACACAAAATGGACAAAAGGGTAATAATGAAACTGTTCTATATCTTGACTGAGGTAGTAGTTACATAATTACATGTGTTCAAACTCAGAATCGTATACTAATGAAGCCAACTTTATTGTATGTAAAATATCACCTTGATAAGTAGCATAACCAAAATAACACTTTGCCCTAAGAATTAACTTTGAGCTAAAGGCAAAAATTTTGTATGTGGTTTTGGGGACTGATCCCAGGGCCTTTGCACTGAGTTACATCCCAAATGCCTCCTTATTTTATTTTGAGACACGGTCTCACTAATTTGCTCAGGTTTGGGTCAAATTTGCAATCCTGCCGTAGCCTCCCAGAGCACTGGGATTGTAAGCATGTGCAACCACACCCACATTGAGCTAAAGACAATTTGAAAATAGGCAATGCAAGAAAGGCATTATTACCTTTTCTTTTTCTTCCTGAAAAGTTTTATTTCATTTAAATGAAAAATGCAGCTTCTAAAACATGGAACATGTCTTAGTTACTTTTCTTGTTGCTGACACATAATACTCAATACCCAAAGTTAAAGGAGAAAGGTTTATTCCAGATCACAGTGTGTAGAGGTTGCAGTCCATAGTTGGCTACCGGCTCCAAGACAGGGCACCAAAGCAGAGGGGCATCACAGAAGACAAACAGTCCATGGCAAGTAAAAGGTAGCAAAGCCTCGAAGTAGCAACCAATTAAGTGAAGCACCCTTAATCTCAGCAACACAATTTTAATCCCAGCATCACACATGTAATCCCAGCAGCACATACCCTAGATCCAGCCATTTTCCAAAACCCCACCTATGAGTGCATGAAGTTTTGAGAAGACATCTAGATACAGGCCAATAACAGGAGATAATAATTCCCAGATAAAATATTCCCTTCTTTTAAAAGAAAAGAAACATTTTTTGATTGGGAGAAATAGCCTAGACAACTCTATACAAACAGACCTTAACTGTTTTCCTTTTGCCTTCCTACATCATTTGGTTACTTTTCCACAATTGTTTCATGTTCACCCTAATAAAGAAGTATATAGGCTTTGCAACTTCTTTAGGGCTTTATTTTCCTATGAAAGCTCCTTTGTCATATAAAATTTATCCTAAGTTCATACCCTTTACACCCATGACAATTTAATTCTCAGGTCCAACTGGTACCCTAAGAAAGAAGAGGTAGAATTTGTGCCAACATATTACAGTCAACCAAAAGGGAAAGCAAAAGAAAGGAAGAATACAGAGATCAATATTCTGATGTGAACTTATTATAATAAAATTACCAAGATGTTTTGCTGAACTATACAACTGATTGTAAAGTTTATATGGTAAAATAAATAACAATAAGCCAACAACTTTTAAAAATAGGAAACTAAGGAGGTAATGACCTCCTAATATGTTAAAATGTTTTCTGATAATCATCTAAAACATTAAATATTTTGATATATTTTAAAATATGATACAGGCATGTAAAGTAATAGATCAATAAGCAGAATGAAACCTCCCAGATAAATTCACATACATAAAGGAATGTGGTATGTTAAAGAGATGGCATCTCAAACCAGTAAAGGAAATGATGGGATTTTTAAAATGATATTGAGACAATGAAGGACATGGCTAGACAGTAATTACATCCATACTTCACATTCCAAAAAGTTCCATATGAATCAAAGATCTAAGTATTAAAAAATAAAACAAAAAGTAATAGAAGAAACTATTAGGAAGGACTCTTTTATAATCGTGGTAGAAAGCCTTTTTAATTATGAGACCAAACCCCAAAAATTCAATTATAAAAGATCACAAACACCCCTACTTTTTTACAGAGTGCATGCTTTTATTTTTAGAAAATAGTGTTATATACGTTCTCAAACATACATACATTTAAAACACCTCTGGAAGGATACCAAAAAATTACTTATTCATGTTCATTATGCATTGGTAAACCAAATATACATTGGTTTGCCTGTGGGGAATGGAAAACTGAGTGGCTAAGGGAACAGTGATGAGGGGGACATTTAGACTTTCTATATTATTTTTATATACCCTCACATTATGTTTTGAATTTTGAACCATGTAAAGGTACTATCTATTCAAAAACACCATAGGAAATGTAGGCAATAAAAAGCATAAAAAAAAAAAAACCCTCTATTTCTACCTGTGTTAAGACTTCAGTGTATCTTTTCAGCTTTTTTTTAGAGGTTTGTGTACAACTATCAACTCTTCTACAAAGGTTAGATAAATTGTACAGTTTTGGAAGCTGTATCTTTCACATATTTAAACATTTACAATATTATTAAAATTCTTCCCCAAAGCATTAAATATTGATATATTGATCATAAGGATATATCATAATTTAAGCATTATATAATTCTCAATCAGTATATATTTTTAAATTTTTGTTTTTGCACATAACTCTGAGATAATTTTCTTATAAGTAAATTATTGGGTTTTTTTTTTTCACTATTTTCTTAAAGAAGGAGTTGAGGCTATGTTTAGTCCTACAAGGAAAATGAAGACTAGTATGGTAGTCATGTTCTCATCACTGAGACACAGTGCACACACCCACAATTTAAAAGAGGAGAGGTTTATTTTGGTTTGTTTTTCAGTTCCTAGTTCCAAGGTAGGACAGCATAACAGAGGGGAGTGCTGGACAGGAAGCAGAGAGAAAGGAAAAGCCAGGGAGGTAGATAAACTCTTTCAGGATTTACAATGACCCACCTCCTCCCACCTGTGGACACCAAATCAGGGGTAGCCCTACATAATCCAATCACCTTCCAAAGTGCCTGAAGCTTTGGGGATCCAAAAAATTACTTATTCATGTTCAGTCAACAAATCAACTAAAAACAGAACCTTAATTTACTGATGCTTAGTCAAACCATTATTCCACATCAATAACTAATACCCCAAAGTCACTGAATACTTTTGATGGATTCAGGACTTCAATAAAGAACTATAACTTGGGAATATTAGGAAGATAAAATATTGAGAAGTGTTAACTATAAAACAGAGAAGGAAAATTAACTGGTCAAATTAAAAGGAAAAGCTTCAGGTAAAATCTGATCCAAGATCTGAAGCAGTTTTCACTGCTTAGTTGAAAGTAAAATTAAAATTTTTATGACAATTAAAATTCACGTTTGACACGATCAAAATGTTGCCAGCAACAAGGTCCTCAACAGAATGGAAATGACAAAGGACAAAGTAGTTTATGCAGTTTGAAAAACTGAGAGGAAAAAAAATAAATATAAGTTCAGTGATTTCGGGAACAATGTCACAAGGTCTAACATTTATGTCACTGAAGTGTCAGAAGAAAAGAAATTGATATAGAAAACTATATTTTTTGTTTGTTTGTTTTTGGTTTTTCTCTGGTACCGGGAACCGAACTCACGACCTTGAGCTTGCCAGGCAGGCGCTTTGCCGCTGAGCTAAATCCCCAGCCCCAAGAAAACTATATTTTAAAAAATGACAGAAAACTTTCTGAACTTGACATGAAAGACATGAGTTTACAGGTTCATCATGCTCCATGAGCCCTAAAGAGGGAAAACACAAAGAAAGTCGTGCCTATCGTAATCAAACTTCTGAGAATGAAAGATAAAAAATTTTGAAAGCAGAGGGAAAAAAAAGCGAATAGCAATTCAAATGAGTGGGTGCATGGACGCTTGAATATAAGGGGGTGGCACAGAACATATTTTCATCCCTGTTTCCTCTTTTGCTACTCCCCACTACACATTTTACAATTCTATAGGGTTGAACTGTTGGTCTCACCTCTACACCTTTACCCACGTAGTTTCTTGTCTAAGAACACAGCCATTTCCTCATCTGGCTAATTCCTCATGCACCTCTCAGCTTCTATTCAGAAGTCAACCCTAGCAAACTCTGACAATGACCTAGGTTGAACTAAGAGTCCCTTTGGGCTCCTAAACAACCCTGGACACATCTCCATCCCTGGACTTCCCGCATTACAATGAAATAATCTTCTGACGTATTTTTTTCCTGTCCTGAACGTTTCTCGAAGGTAAAAACCGCAGTCTTTAAATTTTCTTCCAGCATGTAGCCCAGAGAACACGCTCAAAAAAGACCAACTTTTTAAAAATTCCAATACGTAAAAGAGTGCTAGGAATCCGTTTCCCCATCACACATTCTCCTGAGAGAAATTCTAAAGCAGAAAGTACCAGAAAATTCAGACCCTAGACTTCCTGCCCATGCAGTAGTACTCCCTGCCCCACTGTAGGAGGAAAAGCTTTTGGTGAATGCCAAAACCATCCACAGTGTACCTCACATCGCCCCTGGCCAGGATGAATGAGGGCCAATGGCGCCCACTGCTTTCCACATCCAGACGCTGCCCCTCCCCCCGCTCCAGCCCACGCCACTCAACCCCGCGGACCCAGCTCCAGGGCCACACCGCGCGGGGGTCACCTTCTCCAGGGCAGCTCCTCATCTTCCAGGTCGCTGTCTGCCACTGAGCCCTCGATCACGGTTTCGTCACTGTCCCAGTCAGGAACCTGGGCGCCTCCCTCCATCTTTGCCCCAACTTAAGGTCTTTTTAAACTCTCAGAGAACTTGCCCTTTCTCGCAAACAAAATGGTGCTTTGCGGGCCCGCGGAAATTCAGAGTTTAAAAGCACTAACAAAATTTGTGGTAATAGCCAGGCCTCGCCGGGCAGTTGAGCGAACTGAGGGCAGTCAGCGTCGAGAGGTCGACGGCCCCTGGAGAATGTGGCGTCCCTCTGAGGCACTGCGGGGCTTCACCCAGATGAACGACCTGCAGGCGCGCCTCAGGCCCTGCGGCCTGGTGGTGCTCTGCTTCCCGTGCAACCAGTCCGGACACCAGGAGAACGCCAAGAACGAAGAGATCCTGCACTTCCTCAAATATGTCCGGCCCGGTGGTGGGTTCAAGCCCAACGTCACGCTCTTCGGGAAGTGTGAGGTGAACCGGATCAAAGCGCACCCGCTCTTCTGCAGAATCGCCGCGTCGCCTGCAGGAAGCAGCTGTGCGCGCGGCGTGCAAGACCGCGCTGCGCGAGGCCCCGCCCCCTGGCCCCCGCGGCCGGAAGTGTCGGGTAGCGCGCGCACTGTGGGTTTCCGGTCCACTTCAAGGGTGGCTTTGCTGCCCCTTGTCTGTGTGGTTTTGCCCTGTTTCTTGGCTGGGTGACAAGGGAACGGGGTTTGCTGTTGCAGGGACCAGAAAAACAGCTACGCCGCACTCATACCCTGGGCCAAGTCCGGGCGTCAGATCTCCTACAGTGTAGCTGGTGCTTATGATCCTGATCCAGAAGAGCCATCAGCCCCCACTCGCCCGCTCCAGCGGTTCCAGTCTCAATCCCTGGTCTCAGTCGGGTGGGCGTTCTAAAACCAGAGTGGGTGCTCGACCCAGAGTGATTTTGTAGTCCCACCAGTCAATCTACCAGGCACTTCCTTTCACTTAATCCCTTTGGCGCTCCATCCCGAAGGGTTTGGGAAGATAGGCAAAGTGTGTGTTTACTAGAAGCTTTGAATTCAACTTAATCTAATTAGTGTGTTTGTATTTTTCCCTCTTTAATCCTGAACCTCAGCTTGTGTAAGGAAGACAGTATAATGGCAATATTTTCCCTCTTTATCAAATTTTAGAAATAATAGTGCTGCCTAGCAACCTCCAAAAGTAGTTATTTTCTTGGTGAAGTGCTAGAATTTTGCGTATTTGATGTGTTTCAATCTACTTGAAAGTTTTAAAACTACATTGAGGCTCTGCCTAAGTAGTAAGTTTTACCGCATTTCAGTAAATAAGTTTTAATTGCCTAGTGCCACCTGATGTTTTAAATGGGTAAATGCAATCTGTAATCTTAGCACAGCTAAGAAATTTCTCAAGAAAACATATACCTGTGGCTAAGCTGCGTTATACTAACTTAAAACAAAACCAACTGAGCTTACACTTGCCAAGCAAGAGGAAGGTTCAAGACAAGACTGAGTGACTTTCCTGTAGCAAATATTTACTATTCATCTTGCAATTTCTAATGCCTAGCACATACTAAATCTTTAAAACTTTGTTAAGTAAGTGAACAGAACTAGAGTTTTCTGACTCTAGGGTTCACTGCCCTTATAATTGCATGGAGTGACTTTCTCACTACTTTTTCTTTGTATTATTTAAATCGATATTTAAGTCACTGCTGTCTAAAACACATGATTGGTGAAAAAACATGGTTGGTAGTTGCTTACTATTAAACTTAGTAGCCTGGTATGGTGGCGCACATCTGTAACCCCAGCACTTGGGAGGCTGAGGCAGGAGGATTGTTTCGAGTTCGAGATCAGCCTGGGGTACAAAGTGAGCTCAAGGCCAGCCTCAACTGCATAGTGAGACCCTGTCTCAAAAAGAACCCCCAAATAAATAAATAAATAAATAAACAGTAAAACATTCTTTACCTCAACTCTGTAAGTAAGCAGAACAACAATAAATAAGTAAAGAACTAGACCTCTGTTCTCTTCACACTTGTTCACCTACACTGTGTCCTACAAACTTAAATTGCACCTAAATTCTTATCGACTGCTCATCCACCCTTGTGATGGTCCCAGCTGTGCCTCCTCAGTAGTGGAGGATGCATATTCCGCAAAGGCTGGTCCAGAGGGCTTGGAGGTTACTTTCTACTGATAACAGCCCTTGCTGGAAGCATCTAGTGATTCAATCTGGGTGCAGAAAAGTTCTGGGCCTGAAATTCAGATTCCTTTTCTAAAATATTCTCCCTTTTAGCAAAAAAGAGTCAGTTATTTTTGCATCTCTGGTCCTTTTATTCAAAAGCATTGCCAATATGCAAAGCATAAAGAAGGAATTGCAGAGATGAGCCTCATAATGCCAGTGATTTTTAAAGGAAAGCAATCACAATTTTTAAAATTAATTTGTAAAGAAAATTTTTTTGTTTTTATAAAATTCGAAATTGCAGTTCAGGGGCGAAATGAAAAATGGACGGAGCAACTTTGTTAGAAATACAGGCTCAAACCCAATTCAAACTCTTTTAAGTAGGATGAGTTGAGTTATAAAACTGAACTAGGGGCTGGGGATTTAGCTCAGC